TGCCCAAGTGCTGGGATTACAAGCATGCAGCACCAGGAATGGTTTGTCCAGCACTGGTGATGGAACCCAGGACAAGCAATCTACCAACTGAGTTACATACAAAACTACTTTTTTTTTTTTTTTTTTGGTTTTTCGAGACAGGGTTTCTCTGTATTGTTTTGGAGGCTGTCCTGGAACTCACTCTGTAGACCAGGCTGGCCTCGAACTCACAGAGATCCACCTGCCTCTGCCTCCCGAGTGCTGGGATTAAAGGCGTGCGCCACCAACGCCCGGCCAAAACTACTTTTCTTTGGTTGTTGTCTTCCAATACAAGTTCTCACTGTGTAGCTGGCCTAGAACTCACTTTTTTTGTTTTGTTTTGTTTTTTTGAGACAGGGTTGGAACTCACTATTTACACCAGCCCAGACTTCACACTCACAATAATGCAATTGCCTCTTGCCTCCTAAAACATTTTTAAACATTTTATGTGTGTGGTTATTTTGCCTGGGTGCCATGCCTGCAGAAGCCAGAAAAGGGTCAGGGATCCCCTGGGACTGGAGTTGCAGACAGTTGTGAGCTGCCCATGTGGGTGCTGGGAATTGAGTTCTGGTCCTCCGAAGAGCAGCCACTGCTCTTAACTGCAGAGCCATTTCTCAGCTTCCCTAGCCCCACATTCTATATTCACTCTTACTCTTGTGGAAATAATCTATATATAGCAAGAGGTTACACTCAAATCTCCTTTATAGTGTCAGTTCTCCTAGTGTAACTTACGTAACCCTGCTGCTTGTATGGAGTCAGTGATAGTGTACACCAACCCCCCCCCACATAACATACTCTATTTATTCTCCCTACTTGCTATAAATGGTATGCTTTTCTTATACTGGACTACAATAATTAAAATTATAACTTTTATTTTTTTATTTTTAGATACTCATAAATTCAGACAGTTGTAAAAGTAGCAAGAAGTGGTCCCATGTTCCCTTTACCCAGTTTCTCCAGTGGTAGCGTCTTACATTAGAGCAGTATCAACACCAGAAATTGACAGTGGTCTGGTGAGTGTACAGACATATGCCCGTCTATGCACATGTTAGCCCCATCCTAATAGGACACAGGACTCTTCCGCCACAGAGACCCCTTCCTGATGCCCCTTTGGGTCACACCTGTTCTTCTTGTCCTTTACCCCTAAGGCAGAATACAGATTGTGAAACTTTGGGGTTGCCACTTTTTACTCACCATTCTTGGTGGTTTTTTGTTTGTTTTTGTTCTTAATGGTGTTGGAGATGGAACCTGGGGCCTTTAGCATGTTAGGTCACTGCTCTGTCACTGAGCTACACTCCAGCCCAGAATCAACTCTTTATTATTATTATTTTATATAATATCCAAGCTGACTCTTAAGATGACCCACCTCAGATCTACACATTACCTTTGGTTCACGAGCTACTTATAACAATTCCTTCCTTTTCTTTTTAAATTTTAAAGTGTATGTGCTTATCAGATTATGGATTTGTGCATGAATGCAGTGCCCACAGAGGCCAGAGAGAGCTTTCATCTCTTGGAATTGAAATTAAATGCAGTTGTGAGTCACCCAATATGGGTTCCAGAAATGAACTTATGTCTTCTGAAAGAATAATACAAAATCTTAACCACTGAGCCATCTTTCCAACTCCTTTTACTTTTTTTTCCTGAAGAAATTGTGTCATTTGAGGATATAGAACTTTCAACATTCTAGAACAGGCTGGTTCTAGATTTGTGGTATGCTAATTTCTTTGTGTGTATTTGTGGAATTTTCAATGTATGACATAACACACCCCATCTTCTTTTCACAGGGTCTTAGTATGTAGCTCAATCTCTTGGAACGAGGCCTCCTGGGATTGCAGGAGTGCTCTGTAACTGAGAGTCAAACTTCTTCTTGACTCCACCTCTTACCCCTCAATCTGACTATTACTGCTGTATAACAACTAACTCCAAACCCCGGCAGCTCAAACCAACCACCTTCTTACTGCTGTGGGTCAGGAACTCAGGATAGGCTTGCGTAGACAGTTTCCACTTGGAGCCTCAGAAGGTGGTGCAGGTGGATAGTTTCTGGGCTGTGTCCTCTGAAGACTTACCTGGTCTGCAAGTGCTGCTGGCAGCAACAGGCTGTGGAGACTCAAAGGCCAGACCTTATATGCTCACCCAAAGGTCCACCCCAGGGCTAGAAGGGCACAGACACCAGGATGTTTAACTATGGTCCATCCCAGAGCCTCAGAGCCTCCCAGTTGGGCAATCATGAGTCAGTTTTGCTTTGCTTTGTGTTTCCCTTGCATGTAGATGAGTGCCGTGTGCATGCCTGGTACTCACGGACGTCAGAAGGCATTAGCTCCCTGAAAGTGGCGTTACAAGTGGGTGTTGGGAACTGAACCCAAGTCCGCTGGCAAGACCAGCAAGTGTTCTTAACTGCTGAGCCAACTCTCCAGCCCCAAGGTATCATATTGCTCAGGCTGGACTTGAAGACTCCATACAATGACAGATTCCCTTGAACTCATGCTCCTCCTGCCTCGTGTTAAGATTACTTGCATATGCTCTCATACCTGCTTTATGTAGTGCTGGGGAAGAAAGCCAGACCTTTGTGCTTTTTTGTGCATGGCAGACACTCTACCAACTGAACTAAGCCTTGGTCCTCCCCTTTCTGAAAACACAGGGGTTCACTATATTGCCCAAGTTGGGCTTCCATGATCCTCCTGCCTCAGTCTCCTGAGTATCTGGCACTACAGTCCCGTGCCCAGCCTGTTTGCAGTTTTACAGTCATTTCCAAATGGACATGACATCTCATGCCTGTAATCCCAGTACTTGGGGGAGCTGAAGCAAAAAGGCTGTGGTGAGTTCATTTCATATAAAGGAAGTCATAATGTATATGGACATTTACATCTGACATCATGTTGGGAGGTCCCTCCAGGGTGTGGGTGCCTTGTTCCGTGTTGCTGCTGAACTTACTCCACCATCTTTTCTTGACGCCGTCCTCACTGGGGTTTCTCTTCATGTCCACCTGCTCTTCCTCCAGAAGTGACGCTGTGTGACAGGTGTCACTGGTGGCTTTCAAATGGGTAGTTCCTTTCTGGCAAAGGTCTTGTCTATTATAATATCTTAATGTTCCTCCAGCATTTCATAATATGTAGAGCTAAACCCATCTTAAGAGAGGCTGGGCTGATAAAGCCTACTTCAGAAAGATTTCCTTGCCAATAGCAAAGCAAGGTTCAAAATCCCTTAAGAGTCAGTGTAGCCTTGTGTATCTGTGATACCTGCAGCCTTCCAGATACCTTGGCACACATTCCTGTCACTGAAGGTGGCACCATGGAACATTAAGAGTCCTTGATGCAATGCCATGCTGTTGAGGAAACACGGTAGATGCCACCTCTGACCCTTCTTTGGTCACACATCAAACCACTTAGTGATAAAATCGTGTTTGGTTGGCTTTCCTGTACTTAGCTAAAAGCACCCTAAGGGACAGATACCACTTAAACCTCCACCCTAGGCATACCCCTTTGCTGTAACCCTTCTTTCCTCCAATGAAGGGGTTCCTAAGTTTCAAGACCAGACCTCCTTGAATCCCAGCACCTGAATTTTAAACTGCCTCCTGCTGTGTGGAGCATTTGTAGGTCCCATGGTGCCTCAGTGTGAACAGCCTAGCACTGCTCCTGCCCATACCAGGCCAGTCCTCTCTCATCTGACTCATTACCCAGCCTGATCTTCCCGCATCTCATCAGAGCGTAGGCTCTATACCTTCTGCCTCGTCTTTCTGAATGTCTACTGCAGCTACTTCTCCGGTTCCCAGCAGACTACAGCAATGAGCATGAGGTAGGTCCTCTTAGTGTTCTGTTTGTCATACTGGCCTCCATTCTGGAAGTAAAAAGACCTTTCCAATGCACACAGCTCCTGATACCTTCCTTGTCTTAAATACTTAATTCTATCTCCAACAAACTGGGTGATATGGTAATGAGAGATCTGTATTTGGGCTTTGTCCTATTTTGTGGTCTCATCTCCAACAATTCCACACTGAAGGTGTGGCCACACTGGGCTGGTGTGGAATGAATGAATACGCCAAACTGCTTGCCTCAAGGGAAACTGCCACTTCCTGGTATCTGCCAAATGCTATGCTTGGGTTTGTATGAGAAGAAACACTTTTGTCCCTTCCATGACGCTTTCTTCCTCAGAAGCCCTCCCACCTTTGTGCCAGGTTGAGGAAGACCAAACTCTCCTCGGGAGTCACACTCCAGCCCGGACAATCACCCAACGTTCTGCTCCAAGCTGTAATGCGTTGAAGGAATCACAGTGAAACCAGAAGTCCCCCAGCCTTCCTGGGGGACAATGTATAAATTATTCAATAAGTTTCTTCTTAAATGGTTTTTTTTTCCCTTCTGAAACGGTCTCTGTATATACAGGATGTCCTTGAAATCTCCGCTATAGCCTAGAATGGACTCAAGCTAACAAGCTTAGCTGTGCTCTTGTTTATCTTACTGCACCAAGAATCCTGCATATTTACCTCCTGTGTCATTAGAGTCTTAGAAATAAGCCCCATCCCAGATGCCTTGACGTGGCATGTCTCCTCGGGTCTCCTACCTTCAGAGGAAGAGGAAGGCTTTGAGGAATTGGGTATCCCTGCCCCGAATAGCAGGTTGTTGGCAGGCTGATTCAAGGCTTCCTTGTCAGGCTGCTTGGTCTCCATTGTTTTCTCCTTAGACTTTACAACAAAATTGGTAGGGGTCTTCTTTGGTTCCTCAACTGAAACACACGGATAATCAGTTAGACCTACAACCCAAGGATGCTTGCTTGGAGGGCGGGCCTCGCCACCAGGCGGCGCCCTTTACCTTTCTTCTCTCTAGGTTTGCTTCTGGACAGGCCCATAGGTGACCCCGGCGCCCCGGCCGGGCGGCCTTGGAGGCCCTGTAACCCTAGCGACTCACAAAACCAACACTCAGTTTTGGGCGCTCATTACCATGGCAACCGCGTGCCCCGCGAGACGTACCGAAGCTCCACCCAATGCCCAGTGCCGTCTTCTCGCGAGAGCAGGCCGCGCGACTGGAAACATTAGCGACCCCGGAAGTCCTCCCAGGCACAGCTGGTCTGTAAGATCTCGTCCCCCCTTCGCCGCCCCGAGGGGTGCACTACGCGACTGGCCATGGACGGTAAGGGGCCGTCACCTACTTTGGGTTCGGAGCGGGATTCTGCGGACACTCTGGCCTCAGCCCCTTAACCCAACCGTATCTGTCCCCGGTCTGAGCCCCAGACCCCGCCCCTGGGCCTGGAACCCACTTGTCTCGACCCTTCATCCCGACCAGTACCCGCCTCTTGCCTCAGCTCCAGACACCGACTAGACCGGCCCTCGGGCCTGCACCCCACGTACCAACCAGAACCGGTCCCGGTTCCCGAACCTTTATATCCTAACCGAAACCCTCTCCTGGGCTTCGATCCCACAGTCCAACAGGAAATACCTCCGGGTTCTTGACTCCAGACCCCAGCCAGAACCTACCCCTGGGTCTTGTTCCTTACCCAGATCTCCCCAGACTCGGGACCGAACCCCTGAATTTTGTTCAAATAACCTCAGATCCAGGCCCTTCTAGCACCCTCCCTGATTGTTTTGTTTCTGCCTTGGGGACCCTGGGGTGTTGTCAGAAGGCACCAGAAAAGGTGGTGGTTGCACACTTGAATAGCACCCAGAGAAACAGGAATAATTCAGATACAAAGGACCAAGTAGTGGGATGTGAGTTCCCTCCTAGAGCGACATGTCCTGTTCTGCCCTTACCCTTAGATTGGGAGAGAGCCACCCCTAGGAATATGACTCGCTTCTGCCTGCCAGTGTTCTGATAAGAATTCATGAGTGGACATTGCAGGTTTCATGGACTGCTGTAATAAGAGTTTTTGTTTGTATGAGACAGGGTCTCCCTATGTAGCCTTGGCTTGCCTGGAAATTACGACATATACCAGACTGGCCTTGAACGCAGATATTTGCCTATTTCTGCCCTCCCCAGTGCTGGGAGTTTTTAAAGACTGTTTTCTGAAATGTAGAAAGCTGTGTCATTGTCATAGAGGAAATACATAAAAATTCTATACTGTGCTCCTTGGACAGAAGATGTAGCACCCAGTGTCTCAACAATAAGGGATTTTTGCGTCACAGTTTACTCTGCTCAGGTGAGGGAGCTTTACTGAAGCTCACGTCAGGCTTCTCCAGCTTTTTATTTTTCAGAGTCCAGTCCCACTAGAGTCTACATGAAAAACCAGGTTGAGAAGGGAGAGATTTGGCCAGACACCTGGGAGACACTGTTCCTCCTGTCACTGTCAGGTGACTTTTGTTTCTGAGAGTACCAGCCAGCTGTGGCGGCTCTGACGATAACTAGTCCCTGCACTGAGTGCAGGCAGATGGTATGGGTAGGTGCACAGAGCTCACTGGACCCCAGCAGGCCTCTGCTGGGCCGTGTTCTGCATCTGCAGACCGTCAGTGCCTCACTCTGGACTGGTAGGGCGAGTCTTTTCAGGGATCAAATAGCACAGCACTCTGCAGCTTTAGAAGCAGAGCCAGTTACCTGGTGTGGTGGCTCACAGCTGCAATGCCAGCTCTTAGGCGGTTGGGACAGAAGAATCAGGAGGTCACAGTGTCCCCATCCTTAGCTATAGAGGGAGGTTTTTTGTTTGTTTTTTTGTTTTTGTTTGTTTTTGGAGACAGGGTTTCTCTGTATTGTTTTGGAACCTGTCCTGGAACTCACTCTGTAGACCAGTCTGGCCTTAAACTCACAGAGATCTTCCTGTCTTTGCTTCCCGAGTGCTGGGATTAAAGGCATGCGCCACCAATGCCTGGCTATCTAGGGAGTTTTTAAAACAGGTGAAATCCTGTCTCGAAACATCAAAAACAAATAAACATGAAATTGTGTTTACATGTCTCAAGTTTGTGAATGAATAGTGGATTTGGTTAGCAATTTTTTTTCTTGTCTTTTGAGATGGGGTTTCTCTGTGGCTTTGGAGGCTGTCCTGGAACTAGGTCTTGTAGACCAGGCTGGTCTCAAACTCACAGAGATCTGCCTGCCTCTCTCCCGAGTGCTGAGATTAAAGGCATGTGCCACCACTGCCCGGCAGCAATTATTTTTTTAAATACATTTAAATTCCTTCCTTGAGTTAGTGCAGGTAGGGAGGGACAATGCACTGGGCCTGGTGCTGTGGCTTAGAAATGGCATCGGTCATGGAGTAGTGGCCTCTTTTAACTAAGGCTTACCACCTTCCAGCTTTATCTACTCTCCTCTGGCAGGGTAAAGGAAAGGATATGCAAAACCAACTGCTGGGGCTGGAGAGATGGCTCAGAGGTCAAGAGCACAGACTGCCCTTCCAGAGGACCCAAGTTCAAGTCCCAGCAACCACATGGCAGCTCACAACCATCTGTAACTCAGTTCAAGGAGATCTGTCACATCAGTGCACATAAAATTAAAAAAAAAAGAGCCAATAAAGACATTAAAAAACAGTTAAGTACTAAAGATTAGGTTTAGGTTTAGTACTAAAGGCAAAGAATCCCATGTGTCTTACAAATTTGAATGAATTGTAAGCCACCACCTCCATTCTGACTATGCCAAGAGCTACACATATTACCCTTTGAGATTGACCGGTACGATTCTTGTGTTCCTGACAAACAAGTTTAGTGAGAGTCTTTGTTGGTTTGGATCCCTTGTCTAATATAGATCTATCTTCTGACTCCACTGTTGGGCCTCCCAAATGTCCCAGGCAAATCCCATCCATGTCTGTCTCCTGTGGGCCAGCTCCTAGCATCTGCTTGCTTGATAGATGTGCTAAAATTTTAAGCTGTTTCCTCTGTCTTTGCAGATACCCTGTTCCAGTTGAAGGTTTGTACAAAACCACCATTCCCCAGTCCTGTCCTGGCAACTAGCAAATAAAGACAAGAATTACAGCGTCGCTTGGAACCCAGATACCCAAAGTCATGGGCAAATTATTGTAGTTGAGTGACTGTCACACAGGGCTCCGACTGCTGACCAAAGACAGGCTCATTCCTTGTTTTTGGCTAAGTAGAAGTGGATCACTCAGACTTGTACATGAAGACTGTATTATCTTTAAGAAACGCAGCTGGGATGATAGGCACATGCCTTGATGTTTTACTAAGCATTTAAAAACCACTGGCTGAAATTTAAACACACTTGGAGAATTTATGGGCAACTGAATGTGCCGCCTACTGGGGAGATACTTGTACCTATCTAATCTTGGCATGTTTCTGCCACTTGTAATGCCTTATAAGTGACAATCGGGGTTAACTTTTATCCCCCTGGCGCCAAGGGTCTGGGCAGGAGTGAAGTTACAAGCTGCTGAACATGGCTCTGACGTAGTCTGTGTCACACCGAGGCTGTCGGGCAGTGGCATGTGGGCAAAGAAGAGAGGAAACTGTACATGCAGGGTTCTCTGCTAATGGCACTCTCGATTCCCTGCTTGAGTACCCGGAAGAGGTTCTCGGGTGTCTTTCTTGTGAGAGTTGCTTTGTTGGCCCTCCACTCTAGAGGAGGATATGGATTGGAGTGTCGTTAGAGGTGATGGACATTTTAGGAACCTTGCTTGCACACAGGGCCTCAGAACTGATGAATTGTAGCTGATGCTGTTGCAGTTCTCACAGCCCCACAGTAGTCATCAGGACGTACGCTTTGAGGCTTTGTGCCTTATCACAGGGTTGGGTGAAGGATGTGCAGAGGCGGGAGGTACAAGGGACAGGGTCTAGAGGGTGGGCTCCACCTGTACGTCTCAGAGTGTTTATGGTTTCTACTCAGTTCACAGCGAAGCAGCTAGAGAAACTGGCCAAGAAGGCAGAGAAGGACTCCAAGGCTGAGCAGGCCAAGGTGAAGAAGGTATGTAACATCTCTGGTTTGAGTTCTTTTTATTCCCCAACCCCTTTATTTTACTTGACTTTATTTATGTTGTTTTTGAGATTGAGTACTATAACTCAGGTTGACCTGGAACTCATTGTGTGGCCCAGGCTAACCTCAAACTTGAGATGACCCTACTTCAGCCTTACCGTAGTTGGTAGGATTACAGGTGGGAACCACCACACCCAGCTTTGTTTCCGTTTGTGTTGCTTTAATGTCTTCTTTTTGTGCAAGACACTTCCTACATTGTGATTTAACCTCGTTGAGTACAGAGTATTGTTGCATTTGCTTTGAGACCTGTGACAGGCAAGCATGAGAGAAGGGCAATAGTCCTTCCCTCCCTGCCCACAGATGTCCAGAGCAGAACAGCTGCATGGCCTTCACGCTTTCCTTCTTCCTCTGACATCCTCAGTTGGCAAGGTGTGGCCTTAAAGCTGTCCCTGCTCCAGTGTCATCATTTTCAGCTGACTTTCTTTCTTATGTGGCTGCTGCCTGGAGTATCAGGATCTGGGCAGAGGTGGAAGCTGACTGGGGCTTTTGCAGGAAGGGATCCTCTGCCTAAAGACAGAGCAGAAGGTGAAGTAGCATGGCTGATCTCGGCAGACCTTCAGCTAAATCTTGTGCAGTAGCATGGCTGATCTCGGCAGACCTTCAGCTAAATCTTGTGCAGTAGCATGGCTGATCTCGGCAGACCTTCAGCTAAATCTTGTGAAGTAGCATGGCTGATCTCGGCAGACCTTCAGCTAAATCTTGTGCAGTAGCATGGCTGATCTCGGCAGACCTTCAGCTAAATCTTGTGCAGCTCTTTAGTGTTGCTTCAAAGCAGAGTAGCTCCAAGGCTGTGGCTATTGGTCATGACACTGTGTTTTTACAAAGCTCACACATGTCTGAGGATTATACCTGGGAAAACTGAAAGCCTCCTACCCTCCCCAGTGGTAAGCCATACCTTGGAGAGATACGCAAGCTTGCCTGCAAATGTTCCTCCATGAACATTTACCTATGAATCTTAGGCCCTTCAGCAGAAAAATGTGGAATGTGCCCGTGTGTATGCTGAAAACGCCATCCGCAAGAAGAATGAAGGTGTAAACTGGCTCCGGATGGCGTCCCGTGTGGATGCAGTAGCCTCCAAGGTGCAGACAGCTGTGACCATGAAGGGGGTGAGTGCTAGGACGCGGTGCCATGGCCAGCATATACTGTAGGGCATAGTGAGTAGAGGGAAGCTTGGACCAGCAAAGAACCAAGGCATCAGAAAGGAGTGGACACAGGGAGGCCTCAGGAAAGCCTGGATCCCATGGAATCATCCCTCAATTGGCTGGAAGTTACATGTACCTTTTAGTTCCACAGCAGAATTTCCCTTGAAAGTGGAGAGAACTCCACTGTTTCTCATCAACTGCATTCAAGTGACTGTATTGAGACCCTGTTTTCCCATCAGAAAGTTCTGATAACCTGTCCCTGGTTGGCAGCCCTTGACTATTTTTAACTCCGTTCTTGTCCCTAATCCTCTTTTATCCCAGGTGACCAAGAACATGGCACAGGTGACCAAGGCTCTGGACAAGGCGCTGAGTGCCATGGATCTTCAGAAAGTGTCTGCAGTGATGGACAGGTTTGAGCAGCAGGTGCAGAACCTGGATGTGCACACATCGGTAGGTGGCCATTGCAGTATGGCTGGACAGTGGGTCAGGGTGGCTGGGCTTAGCTAGACAGGAAGGACTTGGAGAAGGAAGGGGGACCAGCCCTTTTAGACAAGCACACAGAAGTACAGAAAGGTCCCTGAACCAGATGGACCGAGAGGTGGGACTGGTGAATATGGGACAGGAAGGGCCAAGGGAGAACCGGTGGGAAGAAAGCAGTGTGGGAGGGGGAGTGAGCAAGGACCGCAGGGGGCCAGGGAGACAGCGCACCATGTGCAGTGGGCAAAGGGACTCGTGTGCAAGCCTGAGGACATGAGCTTGGGTTCTTGGCACCCACATAAAAGCTGGGTATGTGGGGGGTCAGTGCTGGGGCCAATGACAGATGAACCTCAGGGCTGACCAGCCAACCTGGCTGAAACAGCGGACACTAGACTAGAATCTTCTGATCTGTAGTCAGACACGTTATCCATTGCGCCACTGGCCCACCATGAACACTAGATTTAGTGAGAGACTTTTTGAAAGCGGTATCAAGAAGACACTTGATGTTAGCCTCTGGCCTTCACATGAGCACATGTATATAAGCATGTCTATACCACACATATCTACAACAAGACAATTGCAGTGTGTTTCTTGGTGCCATGGCCATAATGCCCAGAATGAACCTCTTCTCAGGTAATGGAGGATTCTGTGAGCTCTGCCACCACGCTGACCACACCTCAAGAGCAGGTAGACAGCCTCATTGTACAGATTGCTGAGGAAAATGGCTTGGAGGTCCTAGACCAGCTCAGCCAGCTTCCAGAGGGTGCCTCTGCTGTGGGCGAAAGCTCTGTGCGCAGCCAGGAGGACCAGCTGTCTCGGAGGTAGGACTTGCCTGAGTGAATGTCATAATACTTGCTCTAGTGTCCTGTCTTGAGGGCAAGTTGGGGGCCCCAAGGACTTTGTGGGCTGGAACCCAGCCATTCAAAGGCCTATTGCACTTGATGGGACTGTTAGGAAGGCAGAGGGAAAACCTGTTGGCCTGGACAGTTCCCCCTTGCGTCAAAATGCCGCAGTCAGTCACCTATAGCCAGCAAGTGGTGCCAAATATGTGATCACAGATTTGTCTACATACAGCTCACTGTAGAAGGGAGTTCCATGCCCTTCCTAAGAATGTCACAGTATGTGACTATTTCTAGCATCTTTCCACACATTATCTCAGGACAACTTTGAAAACTTGAGTCTAGTGCTTGTACACAGTATTTCAACTACCTTTGCCCTTTGTCTTTCTTTTCTTTTTCTTTTTTTCGATTTTCTTTTTTTAAAGATTTATTTATTTATTTATTTATTACATATACACTGTTCTGTCAGAAGAGGGCACCAGATTGAATTGTAGATGGTTGTGAGCCACTATGTGGTTGCTGGGAGTTGAACTCAGGACCTCTAGAAGAACAGTCAGTGCTCTTAACCTCTGAGCCACCTCTCCAGCCCCCTTTTTTGGATTTTCAAGACAGGGTTTCTCTGTATTGTTTTGGAGGTTGTCCTGGAACTCACTCTGTAGACTAGGCTGGCCTCGAACTCACAGAGATCTGCCTGCCTCTGCCTCCTGAGTGCTGGGAATAAAGGCGTGCGCCACCAATGCCTTTCTTACAGAATCCTTTTTGTTGATTTCCAGGTTGGCTGCCCTGAGGAATTAGCATGCCCTTGGCAGGTGTTGCCTCCCTTGTCCTGTGACGTACTGGAGGCTTCTGCCTCACTCTGCGCTCAACTTTCTCCAACCCTTCATAGCTGCCTTGGCTCTTCTCCAACCTGTCAGGCTGGGCGCCTTAGAACAGAGCCTTAGGTTGGGCAGTGGGCCTCTGACCTGGTATTGAATTTGCACAAATGTATAGGTGACTCATGTGACTTGTGGGCCACAGCTGGAAGATGGCAAGCTCTGTTTTGTCCTCTGCCTATGTGGGATTGACAGACAGGGTTTGGCCAGCAGATGTGTGGACTTCAGCCCAGTGCCTCGGGGCCTTCAGATCGCACTGAGCGTAAACCTGCTGCTTGCTGTGGCCAGTGAGAGTCAGAGCCACTCCTTTGCCAAGCAGCTCTTGGGAGACTCTCCCCGATCTCTGCAGACAGGAAATTCTGTTGTGTGACAGTCCTGAGTGGGTTCCTGTGAACTTTTGTGCACCAGAGATGTCCAGTGCCACCAACACTGACCAGGGCCTTTGCAAGATGGTTACTGTCCTCCATCTTCCAAGGGTTGAGCTCTTGGCTGCCACTGCCAGCTGGCTGAGTCTGCCTGGGCTTGCTGTCCCTCAACTCCTTCCCCAGCCCACAGGAACAGAACTGGCACCAATCTCAAGTCCAGGTGTTCCCTTCCAAGAGATCCTCACCCTTCCTCAGCAGCTGCCTCTAGAAGGACTTTGGACCACTTGGGCTGAACAGTCTGCCTGGTGGTGCCAGGCCTCCAGTGAGCGATACAGCCTTCCAGGCCTTTTTAGAGCGTCTCGCTCTTGAATGTGAGGTTCCCCTGACTCTGTCGTTTTAGATACGGGCTGTTGCCTTCTCCAAGGGAAAGCCAGGGTGGCTCACAAGGGAACCTGGGACAGTCCCCTTTGGCTGTGGTCACCTCTTTTACATCCCTTTGCAGTGGGGAAGCTGGCAGGAAGCAAGTGATGAGGCTCCCTGGGGTGGCCTCAAGGCTGTGTGTGTGCAGGCTGCAGTTTTATTTTTCTGTCTCCTGAAGTTTACTCATGTTCTTAAAACTCCTGGCGATTTTGTTCTTTTGCCAAAGTAGAAAGCACACAGCAGATGGGGTGTGTTTGTCCCAGCCCTCTTCACAAGCTGAGCAGTACAGTACTGCCTACAGGGTTACATGCAAACTTGGAGGCTTTACCTGGACTCCCTGTGTTTGGGTTTTTTCTGCTCTGCACTTTGGGGCCCTTCATTGCTCCAACATTACAAGTTGATGTTGGAGGTGGGGGCTGGAATTGTTGACCCTGGGTGTGGGGACCAAGATACAATCTAACTATGGGCCCCTCGGGCTCCCTGAAATCAGCCTACCTGACAGGTGTTGAGAGTTGCTACAGTCTCTCAGGGGACAGCCTGTGAGCTCCCTGGGTCCTGGAGGGTGCGGGCTTTGTGGCACACTAATAGAGTTGGGGGTGCTGGGCTGGGTTCACAAAATGGGCATATCTGTACTTAAAATGCTGTTGTAAGTAAATAAATTGGTTGTTGGAGAATTTCTCAAGCTTTGATTTGATGTCCTGGGTAGGGCTGCAGAACTATGAGCTACATCCTGTGTGGATTTTCCAGTGCTCCACCTCAGGATAAAGTCGTGAATGGGGAGGGGATAGTGTCCCAGGGTGCCTGGTTCCATGGGGAAGGGAGCATGGATGAATGAAGGTTCTCAGGCTACTCATAGTGCAATCCATCAAGTTGATGATTTATTTTAAGGATTAATGTATTGATATAAAGATTATTTCCTATTTGACATGCCTCTTCTTGGCTCTGAGCCCCTTCAACCTGCTCTCTTTGGTCTCAGCACATACTTCCCAGCTTCCCCTTCACCGCAGGGTTCACAGGCTCCTCCTGGCTTCTCTGCCTTGGCACCCAGTCATCCCTGATTTCATCTTAGAGGGGAACAGTGCTTAGAAACTGACTCCTTTGGCAAAATGCTTGCTATACAAGCATGAAGACATGAGTTTGGACTCCCAGAAGTCATGTTAAAAAGCCAGGCATGGGGTGAGGGTGCTGGAGAGATGGGTTTAGCTGCTCTTCCAGAGGTTCTGAGTTCAATTCCCAGCACCCACATGGTGGATCACAACCATCTGTAACTGTAGTTCATGGGATCTGATGCCCTCTTCTGGTATTCATGCAGGAAAAACATCCATATACATAAAATACATAAATAAAAAAGAATTTATTTACTTTAAAAAATAAAAAGTTGGAGAGTGGTTGAGGAAGACAACTGAAGTTAACCTCTGACCTATAAATGCACACTCGTGCACACCAAACAGAAACGGACTGCATGTCATATTTTACACTTCCAAGAAGTATGACAGAATGTATGATAGTGTAACTCTCTGACATCATTAGGACTGTATATTAATACTGTAAGAGCCAGCCTAGCTGCCTTCTTTTTATTTGTACCTTTAAAAAATTTTTTTCTGTCTGGTGGTGGCGGTGCACGCCTTTAATCCCAGCTCTTGGGAGGCAGAGGTAGGCGGATCTCTGAACTCCAGACCAGCCTGGTCTACAGAGCAAATTCCAGGACAGCCAGGACTAATAGAAAAACCTTGTCTCAGAAAAAAAAAATGTTTTCTTTGAAACAGTCTCACCTCTGTAGCTCTGGCTGTCTTGAAACTCATTATGTAGATCGTAATGGTCTTGAAGTCACAGAGATCTGCCTGTTGGGATGAGAGTCCTGCACCACCGTGCCTGACTATTTGAAACTTTTTTTTTTTTTTTTTTTTTTTTGGTTTTTCGAGACAGGGTTTCTCTGTATTGTCTTGGAGGCTGTCCTGAAACTCGCTATGTAGAGCAGGCTGGCCTCGAACTCACAGAGATCCACCTGCCTCTGCCTCCCGAGTGCTGGGATTAAAGGCGTGTGCCACCAATGCCCGGCTCTATTTGAAACTTCTAAATTTTCCTTTTCCTTTGGTTTTTGTTTTTGTTTTGTTGTTGTTTGAAACAAGGCCTTGCTAAATAGCTCTTGCTGAACTGGAGTTACTTGACTGGCCTCAAACTTGCATAGATCCTTCAGATTCTGACTCCTGGGAGCTCAGATTACAGGGATGAGCCACCATATCCTTTTTTTTTAAAGGTGATCTCAGGGCTGGAGAGGTGGTCAGCAGTTAAGAACACTGGCTCCTCTTCAGAATACCTGGGCTCGATTCCCGCCATCTATGTGCCACCATGTCCAGCCTCACAATTTTAAAATGAAAAGATGGTGATCCAAACAGGAAAAGGGCATAAGTGAACAAAACAATTCAACAAGCAAGAACTCTTCAGAACCAGACTAGATGTGCCATCAAAGTGAGAGCTATGGAGTGATTTTACACTGTCTACCATTATTTTAGGCATGAGAAATTCAAGGTCATCCTTGGCTGCATAGTGTGTTGGGGGCCACCCTTAGTTACATGAGAACCTGCCTCAACAACAAAACAATTGTTTTAGGTAACTAAACATTTTGAGTCAGAGTCTTGCAATGTAGCCTGGGCTGATCTCCAACTCATGATCTCCTTGCCTCAGCCCCCTGAGAGCCAGGGTTATAGTACATACCACTATACCCAGGTCTAGGATTATTTTGGGACCACGGTGCCTTTATTTCCCAGCTGAGAAAATGGGGTGTAATGCACTGGAAATGCACCAGGGGGACCTTTCCCACTGCTTTGGTCAGACAATGGGCCCAGAAACTTTTTCTAGGCATTTTCCCTTATACATTGATCCTATGTGGCCGCAGGGTGTTCCCCAAGACATTTAGACCAGACTAGAGAAGGATGCTGCTTGGTGGGCCATGTTGTGACAGACACAAGACCAAGTCCTGTTGTGTGCTAATACCAACAGACTTGGGGGTGGGCAGGCCCCTATACTTTCATTCATTGCTGGCATGTGCAAATGGGAGTCTGGCACATGGAGGACTCTAAAAACCAACTTGAGGCTAGGCTCAGTTGGTAGCATGCTTGCCTAGCATGCACCAAGTCCCATGTTTGATCCTCAGCATCACATAAACCAAGTGAGGTGTTCTGTACCTGTAATTGAAGCACTTAGGAAGGGAAGGCAGGAGATTCAGAAGTTCAAGATAATACCATGGAGGACAACCTGTGATACATGAGAGCCTGCCTGAAAAACTAAAAATGTTAAAGCCAGATGGATGGCCCTGTAGTCAGCCCCGTGGGCTGTGGTTATTGTCTACCTACCTTTTTTTTTTTTTTCTTCAGGGAAGACAGATCTGAAAGAGACACAGATATATGGCCATGGGGCTTCATATACTCAGGCAGTGATGTCCTTCACCCTTTGTGGGTACCTCTCAGAGCAGGTGGGGACAGGCTCTTGACAAAGGAGTCCTTGCCCATGTCCATGAGGAGTGTCTCAGCATATGGAGCAGAAAGGAGTCATTGGCTACTCAGCAGGACTGCTCCATGCTGTCCCTCACTAGTTTATTCCTACAAAACTCATCTTTGAATGTCCTCATTGGAAGGCCTGATCCTGTTTCACTAACAGCCATGCTGGGTAACACATATGAGGCCTCCTCTGCCCTGTGAATCTGAAAAGATCTGCTGTAACTGTGCCAGACAGCCTTGGAGAGTCCAGGCACCCATCCCGCTTGGATCCTACCCTCCATGGTTAGACCACATTCAGATTCTCTGGGTCCCTTCCCAGCACTACAGAACCCAAATAAATATATGTGTGACTCCCATATTGTATGTGCCAGAGTACATGTGCCTGTGTGTGTTATATGCATCTGAGTGAGTGTATGTATGTGTATGGACTGTGTGCATATGAGTACATGTTGTGGGGGGCTTTAGGTACATGTGCAAGTGCTGGGGGGAGGTAGCCACTAGAACCTGGACCATGATTTTTATATTAGCCAATGCCTGTGTGAGATCTTTTGCAGACATCTGGATTCCTTCTAGCCCTCCTCTCCAAGAACTCAGACACTCCTGTGCCCCTGTTCATACAGGGCTCATTTTCATAAAATCTGTTCTCCAGATGCTCAGAAGTACCTCTCAGGGTGGGATGCTGACAATATACATACTCTACACTCAAAGGGGTCATTTCATTTATTGTATGCCTGTGTCTTGAACTGTCCCCAGGTAAGCCTACTGCTTATTTGGGAAAGGGTGTGTTTTTGCATGGACAACATGGGCTCTTGGCTTGTCCAGTCTTCCCTGAGCTCTGAGAACACTAGTCCTTAGTATATCACAGAAGATGTAGACTGAAGAGCAAGGGAGTCAAAGAGGCCAGCAGGGCCCCTATCTGGAGGTGGACGCTGGGGGCTTGTGAGTAGCCGTAGTGTGTCCTGCAGGAGCCATCCAGCTCATCCAGGGGGATAGGCTCTTCCTCAGGGACTTCCATGTTATTGCTTGCCTGGAGACAGACCCAAGTTAGACAGCCAGCCCTGTGGGTGAGGGAAGGGCAGGAGACCCAAATGGCCATTTTCTCCTCACCTTTTCAACATCAGAGAAGACCCGTAGCAGGTTTTCAGCTAGTACACCTCTGACCTCTGTGTCTGTCCAGTTCCTCCTGAGAAGCTCTGCTATGAGGTCCGGGTACTTGGAAACATCCTCCAGTCCCTTGGGGAGCCTATGCCAAGACCAAGAGGACCAGGCATTGCAGACAGGACACTCTCCAGGCATATGAGGGCCAGAAGAGCAGGCTTGCAGCAAAATACCCTGTACTGTATTCAGTATACACGTCCCCTCCCCTGTCCCATCAGCACACATCAATAGGATTGTAACTCTATCATAGAACAAGATGTCACTCTTACGCTGTAACACCATCGTAGTCTCCTCCAAGGCCCACAGCCCCAGGGCCTGCCACTTTCTTGATGTAGTCCAGGTGGTCTGTAGAGAATAGCAGGTGTGGGTCCTAAGCAAGGCCCTCCCCGACTTGGTCACTGTGTGGTCATATCCACTTACCAGCCACTTGGGACAGGGTGGCATCCTTGGAACAGGACACAAAATTACTGTAGAAGTTTACCATCACCAGACTCCTTGTTTCGTTCTGTTCAGAGAGGGGTGGGAGGTGGAAGTTGGACAGGGCCCACAGGAGACAAGGGGTACCCTTCACTCCTCGAATGCCTTACCACCAGCTGGAGTACATCATCAGGTACATTCCGCCTGCTGGAACACAGGGTGTAGGCCGAAGAGTGACTGAAGATGACCGGGGCCTTGGATGTTTTCAAAGCAGCCTTCATGGTGGCCACAGACACATGGGACAAGTCAATCATGACACCCAGACGGTTCATCTCCTTCAGCACTCTCTGGGGGTGGGGGAAGAAATAGGATTGGGCACACCTCATAGATACTCTGAACTTGGGGCATGGGAGAGGCAGTGCTGGAGAGGGGAGAATTAACCCTTTAGTGTCTGGAGGCTAGCATCCTGAATGCTCAGGGGTTCCAATGGACTCAACCCTGGAAACCTTCCTAGCCCTCTGTCCTTTGGGGACTGTGGTCCTTCTCCCTCACCTTCCCAAAGACCGATAGTCCTTGACTCTCAGCCTCGTCATCTCCTGTGTCCACCTTCCAGTTGTCGGCCCTGAAGAGAAACACACATGTGTCCCGGGAGTAAAACGATAGTGTCACCCTCTCCTGCCTAGCTCACAAGGCCTGGCCTGGAGCTCAGGAGAGTTCTGGGCATGACAGAGGAAATGTTTGGTTTCTTCTCCTCACCTCACCCCAGGGCTTCACAGTGGGACTCCTTACCAGGGCGTGTTGCAGTTGTGGGTGATGGTCAGGTACCGCATGCCCAGATGGTAGAGTGTTCGCAGGACACCCAGGCTGCTGTCGATTAAGTGGCCACCTTCCACACCAATCAGACTGGCCACTTTCCCCTCACTGAAAGCCTGTCGGATACCTATAGAGAACAAAGGAGAGAGTTGGCACTAGACACTCGGGATTCAAAGTCCCACCCTCTGGCAAGTCTGGCAGCGGGAGCCTTGGTGGAACACTACCTGAACTATCGGTGACACACAAGAAGGTCTCAGGATATAGTTGGCACATGCGGTGTATGACATCCACCTGTTCCAATATCCTTCTCACAGCATCTTTGTTTTGGGTATCACAAGGCAAGTATGCGGACCAGAACTGGGGGCGAAAGGGAATAGCTGGTAGTCCAGACTACTGATATCTGAGCCCACTCCAGTGTACACATGGGTCTGTTCTCCTGCCCTCTTAGAAGCCCTGGGGGATGGTTCAGTCAGGTGTGCCCTTCCAAGGCCTGTGGCCCAGGGGCCCAGGAAGCATGCTTCTCTAAGGCAGGTCATAGGGGAGACCAGAGAATGTACCTGGCCCCCCACAAAGCCAGCCTTCAGCTTGGGGATGTTGGTGTGTGTTTCCATCAGTGTGGTCAAGTTGGCCTTCGAGTCATTCAGCTTGTTGTTGAACAACTTCAGCAGTTGCCAAGGTAAGTCGTTGTGCCTGGAGGGAACCAGAGTGAGTCCAAGGTGGATTAGGAAATTTGCTTGGGCCTGTAGGCTTCTGAACCAGCTGGCTTGCAGACTGCCCTTCTCCAATTCAAAATCCTACGGCTCAAGGCTAACATGCAGGCCTGAGAGGTAAAATATCTCTGACTTGAACATGCCTGAACACGGGTGAAATTCCTAATTGCACTCCAGGCCAAGTGACCACGAGCTGAGTATGGCTAGGCTGGCCTTCCTACACTCACACACACTCCTCACCCCGCACAAACCCTCAGGCAGGGGAGGGTAGACCCCTGCTCTGCTGTAGAATCACCTGGGCCTCGGGGCGGGGAACTAATGATGCAGACACCTTATAGGAATATGACATTTTCAGTTCAAAGAGTAAATTTTCCCCTTGCGGGGAAAGCTGTGACATAAAGGAAATAGCCTGACACCCATGCCTTCTGGGGAGTGAGGCGTCACTTATAGGATTGAGGCTCATCTTTGTCTCTATTCCTATGGCAAACCCCAGCTTGCCTTTGGCCAGTTCATCTCTGATTCCAAAGGGCTTTGATCTTCTGGGCTCCAAGGGAGGCAGTGCTTTCGTGGAGGAAGGAGAGGACCAACAGCCAGACCCTGAGCTAATGCAAAAGCTTTTTGTCACCTCTGCCTACACTGCCACAGAGCCTGAGTTGTCACTGGACTCCAGCAGACAGTCCAGGAGCAGGCGAGGCAGGCTCAGGCCCAGTAGAATGCTTGCCACCGATCTGCACTGTGCTGATTTGTGTGCCCAGCATTGTGGAGAAGGCACCCATAGTGTGTATCAGTCCTGTGGCTACAGCCTGTGTTAAGCTGAGCCCTCAAGGCCCCCTGGAAGGTGAGCAGAGACAATCTCCCTTCCTCAGCTCTGGCTTGGTTCCCATTGTCCACTTTCCTTTTCCAATCCCAGTTCCCTTTTCCTATACCTAGGTTTCCTCATTTATAACTTGGTATACCAAGTGCATTATTAAGGTAAATAAAAGTAACTGTCAGTTTAGTCATTTGGATCTGTCCAAAGAAATATGTTGTTAGGCATCTTCATTCTTATGAGAGCTTCTGCAAAAACAGGACATCTATCCATCACTAGGCAAAATCATAAAGCCCCACTGAGGTATATATACACAGTCCTTTATTCAAATGTCATTGTAAAACACACAGGCTTTTTTGAGAGTTGCTTTCTTTTCAGACAGGGTCTTACTATGTAGCCATGGATAGCCTGAAACTCTCCATGTAGCCCAGACTGGCCTAAAATTTTCTGTGATCTTTAAGCCTCTGCCTTTTACAAATTGAGATTACAGGCTTATGCCATTGTACCCAGCCTGTTTGTTTCTTTTTTTCTCATTATTTAAATTGATTTGTTTTATTTTATGTGTACTTTATCTTTTGCTTGCATGTATGTTTGCATGTGTATCATGTGTGGGCCTGGTACCCACAGAGGTAAGGAGCATGGGATCACCTGGAACTGAATTTACAGATGGCTATAAGCTACTATGTGGGTGTTAAGAACTAAACCCCCAAGCCAGGCAGTGGTGGCCCGTGCCTTTAATCCCAGCACTCAGGAGGCAGAGACGGGTAGCCTAGTCTACAGATTGAGTTCTAGGTCAGCCAAGGCTACCCGGGAGAAAGCCTTTCTTGAAAAAAAATAATTAAAAAAGATGACCCAGCCGGGCGTTGGTGGTGCATGCCTTTAATCCCAGCACTCAGGAGGCAGAGGCAAGAGGATCTCTGTGAGTTCAAGGCCAGCCTGGTCTACAGCGTGAGTTCCAGAACAGGCTCCAAAACAATATAGAAAACCCTGTCTCGAAAAACCAAAAAAAAAGAAAAAAAAAAAAAAAGATGACCCAAACCCTAGTCCTCTACAAGAACAGGAACTGCTCTTAACCACAGAGTCATCTCTCTAACCCCCTTATTTGTGTTTTCTTTTTATTTTATTTTATTTTAATTTTTTATCTGTGTTTGTTTGTTTTTGTTTTTTGGGACAGGGTCTCATTATGTAGCTCTGGCTGTCTTAGAACTCCGTAGACCCGGCTGTCCTTGAACTCCCAGAGATCCGCCTGTCTTAGTTTCCTGAATGCTGAGAATAAGGTGCTACTGTGCCTGGTGTTAGTAGTGTTTTTATTTTTTATTTTTATTTTTGGTTTTCTTCAAGACAGGGTTTCTCTGTATTGTTTTGGAGCCTGTCCTGGAACTCACTCAGTAGACCGGGCTGGCCTCGAACTCACAGAGATCCACCTGCTTCTGCCTCCCGAATGCTGGGATTAAAGGCATGGGCCACCACCGCCTGGCTGTTAATAGTGTTTTTAAACAGGGTCTTTCTATTAACCCAGACTGGACATGAGCTCATTGTGGAATCCAGGCTGGCCCTAAGCCTGCAGTGATTGACCCTTTAGCCTCAGCCTCCCAAGTGCTGGGATTACAAGTGGAAGCAAGTACACCCATCTTTATATGACAATTGACTCAGGTTTGTTGAGTCCATGTACTAGGTCACCTGTCCCCATCCACTCCCAGTAATGGCTTTTTTCCAAAGCTAGTCAATCCAGGAAGCTCCTTTGGAAAATTCAAGGAATGTACCCCTCCCTAGGGCTGGTGGCTAAACCACCCCTCAGAGCAGGAAGACACAAGCTTCAGTCTCTCCATGTGAGAGCAGGTCCAGGATGGACTAATTTCATCTCTTGCCCCACCCGTTGCATTTGGCACAGATTTATCATGATTCGCTTGCTGAATGAATAAATGAATGGATATGGGCCAGCCAAGGCAGCCTTGCCAGCTCTCTTAGGCAGGACTAAGCAGGCTCCAGGAAAGGAACTTAGTCTTTGCCTGAGGACACTTACAGCCTATCTAAGAAACTCATCTCCATTGTGGGTGCTGGGGAGGGCTGCAGCACTTGAATGAGGCCCTGGGTACCTCAGGAGTCCACTGCCATACTCGACACCACTCTGCCCTTCTCTCTCCTTGTCCCCTCTACACCCTCTTTGGGAAGACAAGATGGGACCACAGGATTTGTGTCTCCCGAGGGAACAGAGCCACCCCTGCCAGGTAAAACTGAAGTGCTAGCCTCTATGTGCCTTAGGGACCAAGGGTATCGGTGGGAGAGTGACTGGCCAGGGGGAGGGGAATGTGACAGCCAGAAGTAAGGACAAGTGGTGAGGAGCTGCAAAAGGACTTCAAGGATTCCAGTGCTTCCAGAGGGATCAGGGCGCGTGAGCTGGACATGGGGGACGTGCACTGCGATCTCCACAAAGGAACAAGACAGACACTGGGGCGTTTGGCAGCCGGCTGGGCACGAGATGCAGGAGAACCGGAAGGCCCTCAAGAAGACCTTATAGAGGTAAAGCCACCCTCACCTCAGCTTTTCAGCTGACGTCCAGGTGGGGAACTTGGATCTCTTCCCCAGACATATGACTAGAGAGTTGGGAGACCTCAGAATCCCCCAAATGCAACCAAACCCTGAGCTTTCGGAGCCCTGGAAGCTGGGTGCTGGGACACAACCTCCTTCCCCTTCCTTTCCTGCCCTCTTTTGCTGAATGAAACCTTTTTGGTCCTAAGACTCTCCACCAAGAAGCTGAGGCCTCTAAGAAGACAAGAACCATGGTACAGTGGGGAAATTGAGGCCCCAGCAGAGGTGTGGAAGCTTCTGGCCCTTGCAGGCACGGCAATAGGTAGCCACTCACCCATCAATGACTGGTGTGATCTTCATGATTTCCTGTGCCTTGAGCTGGAATGAGTCAGATGCGCAGACGGCCAGCAGAGGCCAGAGCCACCAGATGACTAGCATTGCAAGGCCCCACGGCTGCTTCCACAGGGATCTGCTTCCACGGCTGCTTGGTACCTCTGTGCTGGCCTATACACAAGAAAAAAAAATCTAAGGGCGGGATGGAGCCCCTGTGCCTGTCAGGAGAAAGGACAGAGGCCTTTGGTCCAGGTAATTGGGACTGTGAGCCCTGTTTATAACTTCCAGTGTTCAATGAGTAACCACTCCCTTTCATGATAGGTAGTATAGATAATTCATACTGGGTGTTGCTGTATTGACTAGGTAGAGGCATAGAAAGATACAGGAATTCCAGACCCTGACAGAAGCTCCAAATGGGCTAGCACAAGGCAGTTTCTTTGCCATCTAGCTTCCTGGCACATCTGCTCCTGGAGGTTTGGTGCCTTTATGCAGACCTGCTCTTCAGGGCCCAGTTCACGGAAAGTGCCCAGATTATTTTTTCCCCTTTTTGTTATTTTTAGTGCCCAAATTCTTACAGACCAGGATTACAGCATCCATCAAGGGTCCTCATAGTGGCTACCCACCTCAAATGATTTCTGGGGAGTCTGGGTTAAGTAACAGCTATCAATGTACCTCATCATTACAGAAGAGCCATATTTATGTCATCTTCCCAGCTCCCACTGTCTCTTGGCAAAGAGGCACCAAGAATCCTTAATACCAGGACCCTATACAGAAAGTCACACTGTCCGTGTACCTCTGTGGTATCTGAGTCATTCTAGGTGTCCATACACATGCTACCCCCCTGACCCTCCTACTCTGATAGCTGCCACAGTTCCCCAGGCTTGCAATATGATCTGTGTCTGGGTTTTAAAGCTGTCAGGTGGGGGAGGGGGACAGGAAAGAATTTGCAGGGTAGGATACTGTTACCCAGGCTGGCCTGGAACTCACTTTGTACCCAGACTGGCGTGAAACTTGTAGTAATACCTTAGCCCCCCCCCCAAGTGCTGAGATTACAGGCATGACCACCACACCCCGATGCTTTCACTAGGTTTTCAAATTATTGTTCCCTCCTCAACCTCTACAATTAGTGTGTTCATTTTTCTGTTACTCCTTTGCTAGCATTTTCTCTCCTTGTTTAGCAGTCTTACATAATCCCGTGTACCTTGCAGAATCCTTAGTGCCTACATCATGGTCCACCACATCTTAGCAACAGTATACTATGGATTCATTTGTCTCTTGTTCTTATTTTCCCTTGTGGTATTTTGCTTGTCTGAAATTCTTTCTTGGCTAAACTCTCCTGAAATACTGCTGTCAGGTCTGCATTCTCTTCCTCACTGAATGATTCTGTCAACCCCAGCCTGCTGCTTCCAGCACCACGGCAATGTCTGGACCATTCTGGAAATGCTGTGTGAGCTCTGCGGTCTCCACACCTGGGAGCATCTCTTTGTCTCTGATGCTTCCCCAGGAAGGGCTGAACCTTCTGTTTAGACCTGCCTGGCTCTTGATTATACTAGGTGTGAATTAAAATTTGTTGTTCTTGAGACATGATCTTGTGTTGCCAAGATCTACATTAAACCCTTTTGTTGTTTTGTTTTCTTCGAGACAGGGTTTCTCAGTGTAGCCCCAGCTGTCCTGGAAGTCACTCTGTAGACCAGGCTGACCTTGAACTCAGAGTTTTGTCTCTGTCTGAGTGCCTCTGAACTCTGCCTCCTGAGTGTCAGCATCAAAGGCGGGCACCACCACTCCCAGCCTGGTCTTGAACTCCTAGCCTCCTGCCCCCCATCACCCAAGTACACACTGTACCCATCTTAGATTGTTTAAAAACTACTTTTAATTTTTCTCCTGTCATCCCTATATTGATTTTAAAGCCCTAAAGGGGCTGTTGCTCAGTGGTACAGCATTTGCCTAGAATAGATAAAGCTCTAAGTAGTGTGGCCTTGTGGGCTTCCAGTTCAACTCCTGGGTTCCTATACTATTGTTTTCATTCAGAATTTTATGAGTTGGTCAGATTTCTCAACTTCAGCTTCTCTGAAATTAAGAAGTCATTGTGTTACCTCCTTATTGGTAGGAAAAGTTAGACAGTAGCTCTCAACCTAATGCTGTGAGCCTTTAATAACAGCTCCTCATGCTATGGTGACCCCCATCTATAAACTTATCTTCGTTTTGACTTCATAGCTGCAATTTTGCTATTTTTATGAATTGTAATGTAAATATCTTATTTTTGTAATGTAAATATCTCATATGAGACCCCTGGGTCCCTATCCACAGGTTGAGAACTACTGAGCATGTTTTTGTTTTTGTTTTTCAAGACAGCGTTTCTCTGTGTAACTTCAGAGCCTATCCTGGAACTCACTCTGCAGACCCCACTGGCCTCAAACACAGAGATCTGCCTGCCTCTGCCTCCTGAGTTCTGGGATTAAAGGTGTGTGCTGCCACTGCCCAGCTTGTTGTTTTTTTTAATTATTATTAATTTTAAATATCTTGTTTTACATGTCAATCCCAGTTCCCTCTCCCTCCCCTGCTCCCGCAACACCCCCCCCACCATCTCCCCCAGCCTCCCACCCTATCGCCATTTCCTTCCACATAGGGGATATCTAGAGTCTGTCATTTCACTCAGGGCAGGTTCCAAGCACTCCCCTAAGAATCCAGGCTGAGAGAGCATCCCTCTTTGTGTTATGGACACACGATGTCCGTTAGTATTCGAGGGATAAACACTGATCCACTGCTCAGGGCCCCATAGGTTGCCCAGGCCTCCTCACTGACTCTCACATTCAGGGGGTCTGGATCAGTCCCATGCTGGCCTCCCAGGTGTCGGTCTGGGGTCCAAGAGCTCTCCCCTGTTCAGATTAGCTGTCTCTGCTGGTTTTTCCAGCCCATTCTTTGCCAATTTGCTCATCGATCCTCTCTCTCTGTTGCTGGGTTCCTTGGGTTCAGTTCAGTATTTAACTGTGGGTGTTTGCCTCTGCTTCCATCAGTCACTGGATGAAGGCTCCAGGATGGTTATAGATATCAAGTTCATTATCAGGAATGGGCATTTGAGGTGGTCTCTCCACTATTGCTTAGCTTGCCAGTTGGTGTCATCCCTTTAGATCACTAGAGGTCACACTGGTGCCTGATCTGTCTTCTAACCTATGATTCCCTCTTCCCCTACTCGGCTTGTTGTTTTTAATCAAGCTAGACATTGTATTGCCCAGCTATACTACCTGTAATCCTGCATTCGGAACGCTGAGGCAGAAGGATGGCAAATTTGAGGCTAGCCTAGGCTACAGAGTAAGAGCGTGTCTTTAAAAGCAGTGTCTCACTGTTTGTTCTGAACTGATTGTCCCACCCTCTCCCTCCGTTATCACATTCTCGGTCTGCCTGTCCCCTGATGCTACAGCCTCCTCTCCCTACCCAGCTCTCCTTCTGCCTCCCAGATGCTCTCATCTGACTTTGCCTCCTCCGGGATCCCTGGCTGTGAGCTGGGCGCCTACAGTTTCCACTTATCATTCACTTTAACTTTTTCTCCTCTTTGGCTTAGTCTCTTACTTGATTAGGACAAGTCCTCACAGCATTCTCTGGCAGGGTGTGTGTAGGGGCTACATCTCTGAGCTTTTACAAGCCTGCATTATGTCTATTCAGCTTTCACACCAGGCCAGCAGTTTTGCTGGATGTGCAGTTCTGGGGCATAAATCATTTTCCTGTGAGCTTGAAGGTTCTGCAGTCTGTCTCAATTGGACTTTGGATAAGAACAGCATCAGGACAACTGATATACAAATAATAATAATTTATTATTCTAGTTCTTTGCAGATGGCATGCCTTTTCTTCTCTAGGTATTGTCACCTCTTTGTCCTGACAGTCTGTGATTTCTCAATGAATGACAGGCTTTTGAGTCTTTTTTTTTTAAACAGGGTTTCATGTATCCTCCAACTCATTAACTGAAGAGTGACCTTGAATTTACAATCTTCTAGCCTCCTACTGCCCAGAGTGGGATTACACACACACCCGGTTTATGAGGCACTGGGAATAGAGCCCCATAGCTTCATGCATGCTGGGATAGGATTCTCTCAATTGAGGTATGTCTCTAGCTCTCCCTTTTATGGACATTTTCACACATACAAATGTTACACTTTGTCTTATTTGCCTCCACTGCCCTCCCAGACTTCTTTGTCCCTTTTCTTGTGGGTGTATTTATGTGTAGGTGGATGTGTGCTTGTGTGTATACAGTACCCATGAGTATGCAAGCGGTGTAGCCCACAAAGCTAGACCAATAAGCCCTAGCTTCATGCATATTGAGCATTGGTCAGCCTTTGGTGCTGTTCCTTAGGAACAGGAGTTTTGAAACAAGATCTCTCACTGGGACCTGGGGTTTACTGGTTTGGCTTGGGTTGGCTGGCCAGTGAGCTCCAGTGACCTGCCTGTCTGTGTTTTCTCCCACACAGCTTTTTATGTGAGTTCTAGGGATCAAGCTTAGGTATTCATGCTTATGTGGCAAATATTTTCCATACTGAGCTGTCTCCCCACTCCCTGTCTAGGCTGGCCTTGAACTTTCAATTCTCCTACCTAGGTTCACAAACCCATGCCCAGGCTTGTTTCAGGTTTTCGTGTGAGTGTGTGTTTCCTGTTCTGTGCCCTCGAGTGACTTCCCCCCTTTGTCGTCATGTTTGATTCCAGAAATTATATACTCAACTTCTTGTTCTTTCCCTTGGCACTCTGCTCTGGTTATGAAAGCCACATCCGTCTGTAGCAACACTTTTCTTCAGTTTTATGAATGAACTCCAGCCTCTGTTTTTCTGTTTTCTGGACCTTCCATTGCACTGACAGCATTCCATGACCAGCTGCCAATCCCCGTTGTTCCCTACTTGATGTTTAAGGTCAGGGGAATAGCAGAGTGGGCTGGTCTGGGATGTGTGGGGGCTTTTTCTCAATTTAGGGTTAAAAGCAAAAAAAGGAGTTCACCACAACAACAGGGTCCTTAAAGTGAGCCAGAAGCAGGCTGGTCTCGAACTCACAGGGATTCACCTGCCTCTGCCTCCTGAGTGCTGGGATTCAAGGCGTGGGACGCCGCCGCCGCCGCCACCACCACCACCACCACCACCACCACCCGGCTAAATTTTGCTTTCAAACTGACAGTTGGCCTTGAACCATATCCCTTTATGCTATGTACAGGATGTTGTTACTCATTAGAAAAATATGCCCACTTACCAAAAGCAGAGGAACACAGTAAAATAAACACGCAATGCCCAAGCAGTGCTATTCATTCAGAATCAGAGCCAGGGAGAAAGCAATAGAGAGCAACAGTGGACCAGTGAACCGTTTTCCAACCTAGAAAATGTGCTACATTTAGCAGAGGTTACCCCAATAGGCCTAGAGAGACCAAGTTCTGACACTGAAGCCCCCAGAATTAATTACTAGCCTCACCTGAGTTTATCACAGTTCCTTATACCAAGGCACTTTGTTATTACGTTGAGACCCTAGGAAGCTGCCACTAAGCTTCTTCTGTAACCTGAGACCCAAATGGGCTAATGACCCTGATCATGCCACCAGCCAGCCACAGGGCAGTAGAGGCAATTACATAGCAGCACAGAGACCTCAGATCTGACTCCATGTCCTCTAATGAACACAGGTCATAGAGCACATCCAAATACAGAGACATCTGAACCACATACACACCCACACACAGCAAAAACACAATCACACGTTTATAAATCTACATGTTACAAGTGTACTCCCTCATAAACACCACTGGCAGCAAACACCTGTGGATGCATACATCCATGTTTGAATGTTACTGTCTGTACAGAGGGATCCATGCAAACACAGGTCTGCCAGGTCCCACACATTTTCACAGATCTTCACAGACAGAAGCAGTTGGGTACATCCCAAACAAGCAGTTCCAGGTCTGTGGACAAGCTTATGAATATATGTGTAAACTTTCCCATACATATTAAATAAACATATACTCAGATGCCTAGACAGCTACAGATAGCTAACATGTGTCCCCATGAGACTTGGAGGCCACACACTGTGCATATGACTCTGCCACACTTACCTGTGGCCCTAGGGTGGACACACCAGCCACTATGGACAGCACTTGCTTCCTAGGCCCTCTTATGGCTGAAGTGCTACATTCAGTTTCATCTGACCACTTGTGGATTCTGGAACCTAGGGCCAGGTTTCCAGAAAGGCTGCGTGTGGAGTGGGGACCCACATGTCAACTCTCCCTATGTCCTTTTCCCCAGAGGATGTCACTGGGCCACAGATGTCTCAGCAGAACAGCTATCTCCCAGTTACATACCAGGCAGATATCTGTACATAGAGATCCCCCAGGCCCAACAGTCAAGCCCTCACCCAAACCTCTGTCCCCAAAGCCCAGGTCTCTCCCCAGGGGCCATGTCCTCTGGTATCTCATCACCTCCAGTTCATCCTCAGGTTGGTGAATTCTTCATATCTCCTCATCCTTCCCAGGAGTCCTACACAGCTCCTGGCGAACCCCACAAGGTCATCTTTCTCTTTTATCAACCCAACTTTGCATGCCCTGGCTGCATCAGAAATAGGTCCTGCTTTTAGCTTCATCCTCCCCTCCCCCACACCATACTGGGCATCCAGATGCAACACTTTTGTTTTTCTGTCTGGGTCTAATGAGCCCCCTCTGTCCATCACCTGAAAGCTCTCAGCCTTGCAGACCCTCTCCCTTCAAGGTGCGGCAGGAATGTCATTCTCTGGACACACAGACACTGCTCACTATCTATCTGTAAGTTTCCCCTGCTCATGGGATGTTTTCTACCCAGAAATGGAAAAGACTCTCTGTACCTCATTATTGCTTGGCCTCTACCCAGGTCTACTTCCCAGCACCCCAACACTCACCAGGAGCACACGCAGGTCAGGGGGTACAAATGTAGCTTCAGTCCCGCGGCTGAAACTCAGACAGCCTGCTCCCGAGTTCTCCAACTTTGAGGGGCCACCTCTTTAAAAGGGAAACTCCCCGGGGCTTCACCATGTGCCAAGGAGAGCAGACAGGGCTAATGCCTCGCATATGTCAGCTGTTCCTTGTCTCCGAAAGACACGCAAGCCCTCAGTAATGAAGAACATCCGGTGGGATCTGGGTCTCTGGGTCAAAAATCTGTCAGGCGACAAGCCTTTGGGGCTACAGGCAGTAACCTTGTGCTCTCCACCTCAGAGGTCATGGCATGAGCATTAAGTTATCTGAGCTATGCACCAGGTTAACTGAGTTAGACTTCAGGTTAACTAAGTTAAGAAGCCGGAGGGAGGAGTCTGGGCTGTGGACTTCAGAGTGTGCACGCGCTCTCGGGCTCCTTTTGCTGAACTCAGTGTTCTGAGGTGACTTGGGATTTGGAGCCACATGTTTTCCTCCATCTTCTGCCCCTTTATCACTCCCCTCCTTACTGAATTACGAATGGCCTGTGCTTCCCAGTTGGGAGAGCTGCTTCCCCAACCTAGGAATGGACCAGCCGTGCTAGGGCCAGCCCTGGGGGCCCTGGATCCTTTATTCAAATAAGGAGGGTTGATTTTTCTCCCTCCTTGCCATAAGGAGAACCAAAAGCAATCTTAGATTGGAATGTCCTCTGGCAGAACTACAAGCCTTTCGAAATTGTGGGAGGGTCTAGTGACTTGTGGTGACTGGGAGGCTAGGCTTCAGTGTGGTTTCAAGATTCTGTGGTGGCAGAGAACAGGGCATCCCTAGTGGGCTCTGAAAGACAGGAGGAAAGGCCAGGTCACTCCAGCTCCACCTGTAAGGTGTGGTAGGAACACACAGGGCCCCCTGTTCCTGCTCTGGCCCATCCTCTGACCTGGCTGTGTATCTGCATGTGAGCTGTTCCCCCCAGAGCTCCAGTCATCCTGTGTGCAGAAGAAGACACCCTACATAGCCAGTGATGCTGTAAAACATTCGGTTCCCAGGTTTTCCCAGGACTTAGAAGGGAAAGACAGTGGGGGAGCCTGAGATGCAGACTGGGAACCTTCCCATCCTAGGTGAAGGGATCTGGAGAAGGAGTGAGTGGGACAAGGGCAGGCATGAACCATATCCTGCTCTCTCTCTCTGGAGCCAATTAACTCTCCCTTGTGCAGAGACAGGGGTGGACCAGGATCAGGACCAGGGAGAAGAGGCTGGCAAGAGCCTCTGCCTGGAGGAGGTGAAGGCTCTGGACACAGACCTAGCAAATAGATACACACCACATTTGGATATCTTTGGGGTTCCTGCTGCTTCTGGATACCCAGGGTCTCCGGAAGCCTTCCAAATCCTTAGTTCATTTGGGGGTTGTCAGGTAAAGTCACCAAGTACCCTACTTCTGCTTGGGAGTCAGCCTCCTTGCACAGTTAGGAGCTGGACAGACATGGGACAATGGGGCTCGGAAGGGATGATGGCACTTGGCCTCTTATTCCTGTTGGTACCCCTGGGAAGCTCACTAATCTTTCTGCAAGTCCCTGGGGAGAAAACACCTTAGCATGCTGCTAAACCAGGAGTACTTCATAAATGGCCATCTGCAAATGGCCAGGACCAGAACTAGAACCCCAGCTCCTCTGGGTGTGAGGCTGCAGGGGGCTTACCCTGCATAGGGCGTCTGGGGGACACCCCACAAGGCCTGCTGGATGGAGACAGCAGCGCTCAGACTCTGGAACACTGAGAAGCATCCCATCTGCATACTGGAAGCCTAGAGCTGCCTAAAAGTCCTGCCATTGCCTTGAGAGTCTTAGTTTTAGCTTTTGTGTGTGTGTGTGTGTGTGTGTGTGTGTGTGTGTGTGTGTGTGTGTGTTTGGTTTTTCGGGGCAGGGTTTCTGTGTATAGTTTGGAGCTTGTACTGGAACACACTTCATACTGACCTCAGACTCACAGAGACCCACCTGCCTCTGCCTCCCAAGTGCTGGGATTAAAGGTGTGTGCCATCACTGCCTGGCTTGATAAGTTTTATAAACAAGTCTGATGCTTGTGTGTTATCTGTATTATCTGCCCCTAGCTTGAGGCGACTGCCTGGGCAGAGCCCCAAAGTGCCCTCCTTGTCTGTCTTCAGCACTGCAGACAGTGCAACTTCCTGCTGTTGACAAGACACACATTGCCTGTCTCTAGAAGTGTGTGCAGTATAAGAGCACATGCTAACTGAGCAACTACTATACGCTGAGGGAGCCTGGTGTGCATGATACAGAACTTTCCTCATCCATGTGCTTGAAACTCAAACCTGGAGGAAGGATGGCTGGGCTCTGTCCTTGACTCCTCCCTTTCTTCTGACTCTCCACTAACTTGCCATGTCTTCAGGTTTACCTTCTTGGTTCTTCACAGACCAGTCCCCCCTCCCCCACTCCATGGGGGGGCGTTGTCCCTGTATGAATCTAGTTTATGTTCCCTTTTCTACCACACCCTATCAGGCCTCTTAATTGTAATGACAGACAGTTGTCCTTCCCAGGAATTTGCCTTCTGAGCGCAGACCTTGCCCTTACTTCCTGGCTTCCACCATTTTATGTGCTATGCTCCCTTGATAAAGTCACTGTCCCTCAGGTTTCCACCCCGGCCTTTCTCCCGGCTGTCCCTGGGTACCACTTGGATTACAAGCCTCAGATGATATCATCAGCCCTTAGGGGTCCCCGTGCTTCAGGCTCTGGAGTGGCTCCAGGGTCAGCAACTCAGCACCACCTGGGCCTTGCAGCAGGCATCTATGAATATGCTAAGAGCCTGCCTCAGAATCCACACAATGCATGCCACAGAGTCTGAGAACTACGTAAAGTTCACTGGGGATGTCCTGTCCCAGCTCTTGACTTTAGCCCTCCTAACCATATTCCCCAGGCACCTATGAATCTGCTAAGAGCCCGCCTGTCCCTCCCACAGAGGCAGAGTTGTTCCTCAGATTAGCTGGAGTCTCCACCGGCTGACTCTATAATACTCTGCAGACAAGCTCGGCCATACCCCTCCTCTGAGACTGTGTCCCATGACCCACCTCCCCCTGTCGGCTGCTGCCCCTAATGGATGGGCTGTAGTGCCTGGGTGACCTTGCTTGTCTCAGAGTCCATCTTTGCTCTTACAGCTGCCCCATTCTCTAGAATCCCCCAGGGCCTCGTCACTGTTCCCAGGCCCAGCAGCTTCTTAAACACCTGTGGCTAGAGATGTAGAGCATCTTCAGCTCAATATCTTCCTCAGTCTTGTATCATCATGGCCTTCCCTCTTCCTGCAAGCTCCAACAGAACTCCAGGACGTCTAAAGCGCCTCCTCATCATGGGATGGTTAATTTTATGCCAGAGTGACTGGCCCTCAGGATTCCAGAGCCGGTCACTTCTTCTCGGAGTGTCTGAAGGTATTTCTAGATAAAACTGGCCATCACAAAGCAGGTGCCTCCAAGGTATGTGGGCCTTAAGGGCACCACTGGGGGCCTGAATGGAACATGCAGTTCCTGGGTGCAAGCATGCTCTCCCACCTGCTAAAGTAGGACTGTCTTCACCTCTTCACCTGACTTTAGCATTTGCTGGAGATTGTACCCCAGTGTTTTGGTCTCCTGCTTGCTAGCTGTGGAGCCAAGTTTTAGTAACGAGTCTCCACGCACTACCCACACCTTCTGTCAGCTCTGTTTCTCTGGGGCCCTTGTCTCACACGTGCATCCTTCAGTAAACCCAGCCAGAGGAGCCTGCTCTCATGCCTCATCTCCTTCATGCCCCACTGACACCCGGTCGGCCTCTCTCTGTGTTCTCAGTACAGTGGTTCGATGCCTTTCAGCGTGGCTTAAAGACCACTCAGAGCCCTCAGAGGTTCCATCCCCACAGAGAGGACCCTTAGGGGACTTCCATGACAGATGATGTGACCTCAGCTTCACCTCCACTCCCTCTCTTTCCACTCTGTCCCTCTGGCCCATTCTAACTCGCCAGGTATGCTGAAGGCCACAGGACATTTGCATCTACCTGAATGCTCTGTTCAGAAGCCCAGGGCCTCGGCGGCAGGCTTCCCTTGTGGCCAGCCTCTCTCAGCACTTTCTCCTGCTTCCCAGGCCTCCCTCCCCAGCTTCTAGCAGCTGTAGATTGCTCAGGGCTGGCTTATTATCTGCTCTTCCCTCTAAGAAGGTCATGATCTCAGAGGTCTAGTTGGTTCATTCTGGTGTGTTCCGCCAAGAATGAATTATGAAGGGTCAAGAGTGAAGTGCAGACTCAAGCTTTCCATCCTGGCTCCGGTGCTGCCTCCACGCTTGACCTCTGTGTTTGCCTGGGACCCACAGCCGTGCCCGGGAGTTCAGGTCGGTGAACAGCTGGTGGGAGGGGAGAAGGGCCTGTCCTGGGATTGGTGGGAGGGGAGAAGGGCCTGTCCCGGGATATGCCACCTCTGTGACTCTGTGCTGTTCCTGGTGACTGCCTCCGCCTGTTCTTTCAGTTTCTGAGCCAGGTTCCGGTGTGGGCATCCAGGCGCTGCTCTTCATTGCTATGGAGCTCACGAGTCATCTAAGTGCACGAAACATTCCTAGGGGAGTTTGAAGTCCACACACCTTTCCAGGACTCTGGATAGGTAAACAGATTGTTAAAGATTATTGTGCTCTGAGCTACCTCCTTGGGTAGGGCAGGTCTGAGGCCAGCCTGTCTATTGACATCTTCGAAGCTTCATCAGCAAATCCCTTGATAAATACTTGATCGTGACCTCAGAAGCCCTGCCTCCCACACGGAATGCCAGAAAAACAAATCAGAGTTGGGGCAGAGAACAGGAAAAAGGAGGGACTCCTGTGTGGGCTGTTAAATGCTATGTTGAAAGAGACACAGCATTGCTGGGTGGTGGTGGCGCACGCCTTTAGTCCCAGCACTCGGGAGACAGAGGCAGGCGGATCTCTGTGAGTTAGACCAGCCTGGTCTACAAGAGCTAGTTCCAGGACAGGCTCCAAAGCCACAGAGAAACCCTGTCTAGAAAAAACAAAACAAAACAAAAAGAAAGAAAATCAAGAGACTTGGCATTCCTTAACTCCTCAGGCTTTAGCTTCCTGTCTGAGAGCCTGAGGCTGGTGAACACTTGGGAGCAAGGCCAGGCACTCAAGCCAGTCTCAGGGAAGTGCCCTGCACAGCTGCTCATTCTTGGTCTTGAACTCCAGACAGGAAGACAGGCCTATCCACACAGCTGGTGTCCCTGTCACCACACACATCAACCATCAGGTTACTGCAGCTGCTGCCCTCGGCTGGCTGTGTCCCCACCTGCTTTCCCTGAGGACTGAAGACAGTAACCCAAGGTCATGTGATCCAGGAAA